GAGAGCTACGGCGATTGGTCACGTCCGGATCCCGGATCCGGTTATCCGCCAGGAGATCGATCAGATGCGGACCCGTTACGAGACGAGGATCGACCAGCTCTACGGTCTCTTCGAGATCATGAGAGCCGACAACCTGGTGCTCATGGCGTAGTTGGACAAGCTGCGGGCTGATGGGGTTGTCGGATCGTCTGCCGGGTCATCTACTAGGACGCAACCGCCGGTGCAGACGGACGAGGAGATGTTCCGATCTCACGGTGTTGAGTCTCCTAGAGCCGGAGATCAGGCGCCGGCGGATGCATCTAACCGAAGACCCAGCAAGGAACACGTCGAGGACGATAGGGAGCAGGCCGTTGACGGGATCGATGATATAGACATAGATTTAGATTTAGAGCTGTAGGGTTTTTTTTGTAAATCTTACAAATAATTTTAATTTGAAATTTTAATAAATTTTAAATTGTAAATTTTTTTTTTAATTTAAATTTTAATTCGAATTAATTTTTTTTTTTAATTTTCAATTATATTAAACGTCGTATAATCGTCGTAATATCTTTATTATTATTTTATAAAACCGTCGTACATTCGTCGTAAATATTACGACGAATTTACGACCAAAATGTACGACGACAGATACGACGATTATACGTCCGTGATTTACGACGATTGTACGACGAAATGATTAAATACTTTACGATTGATTTACGACGATTTTTGCGTCGTACATTTTACGACGATCTTACGACGATTATTAACGACCATTTAACGACGGTCCAGGCGAAGACCAAGTCAACGCAATTCGATGTAAAATCGTCGAAAACTGTACGACGCATTTACGTCGATTTTGTTTCCGTCGATGTTACGACGAAACGAAACCGTCGTATATTATACGACGATTTGTCTATTACGACGATGACTTTACGACGATTTCGTAATCGTCGGTAGTTCGTCGTAATAGCCCTATTACAACGAAATAACGACCATTTTGGCCGTTGTAAAATGATGTTTTTCTTGTAGTGGAAGTAGTCATTTCGGACGGTTTTGTGATAGAAATAGTCATTTCGATGGATTTCTGCTGGCTGTACTATTTTTATGTATATTGAAGGTTTAGGATTTGGAAAACTAAAAAAAGATTTACATCTCCCTTTCACACCTACAAAGATGCAAAATAACAAACATTTTTATCATCTAGTGATTTTATAATTTTTTAAACAATTAACTCCTACACTTACCATCTAAACTTTACTTCTTCTTATATTTCTACTAATTCATTCTTCCAAAATTCAGAAATGTAGGTAATTTCTTTTGAAAGTACCTTAATATTTCCATATATATGGAGAAAGTTGGATATGAATGAGCTTACTGATGAAGGAGATGTGGAATATCTACCTGTTGGCTGCTTTGAATTCTAGTGAACATGACTCCCAATGGGTGGATGGAAATATATCTGGCTTGATGATGGAAGATGCAGCTCATATTATATTAAAGAATGCTATCACCGATATAGGCCTACCATATTTGGTAGAAAAGTTGTAGATCTTGGCATTTGAAAGTTGTGACTTTTCACCATCTTATTGCTTGAATGATATCTCGACTGCACTATTTTTTCTCTATATATGGAAGAGTCCACAGACTTTATCAGCACACTGCTTTCATGGAGCTTCTTGTAATTTGTTACCCATGATTCCAGGAGTAGATTGACTAGCTATTCTCTAGGAACTTTTCCTCGGGATATAGATGCATGACAGACTATACTGTGATTCTAATTGAATGAGTAGTGCATCTCTTGTGTCTTGTGGGAGACTTACGTCCATAGCATGGTTTTGAACCCTAAACGCCATCAGGTGGTGGAGCGTTGCTACATATGTATTTCCAACTAGTGGAGCGCCTATGATTTGTAGTTGGCTTTTCATGTTTCGGTAGATTTGTGGGTCTTGAAGTGCTATGTTGAAATTTGGGTAGAGAGTGACAAATATCGTGCCCGCATTCAATGTTATTTGAATTGTTGTTATGCAAGCGTGCTGGTATTCTCTGTATCTTGTGATGAGTAAAGTGACTCTTGCCACAACAGGTAGATCTTTTCTTCCATGAAGAGTCAATGCCAGCCGTATTGCTCCATAGTGTAGGTTGGGTGTAGCCATGAGCTTTACAGTGGTGAATCGTCCCTTCATTAAAACGGAGAGAGATCATCTGCTCTGTTTCCGTTGATGGAACCAAATGTTGCTCCATTTGTGAGGCTAGAATTAGCTCTTGTGTGGCATGTTTCCGGGGAAGACTTGTTTTATTACTTTTCGGAGAGTGGAGTTCGGTTTTGTGAAGGCTTTATATGGATTGAATAAGGGTAACTTCGTGAATGGAACTTTACTATCTTCACTCACATATTATATTTCATAGAGATAATCTATCTTACTATATGTTGATTTTCAAAAAGGGGTCGGTTTATTGAAGATAAACTTTCCAAGATGTATTATGTGACCAGAAACCAAGACAAAATGTTTTATTTTTTATTATCCCTTGAAGTAATATTAGCGCAAGAGTTGTTTTTCTTTGGGTTGTTTTGAAAATAAGGACGTTTTTAAGTTTTAATTTGAGAAAAAGGTAGTTTTATGTTTTAATTAGTCAGGGTAGGGACATACTTTCATAATGCCAAACTTACCCTTGTTTCTGAGAGAGAGAGAGAGACAGAGAAGTATGTCACTTAGAGAGATACAGCCGCAGAAAATACATTGGGTCCCAGGAGTAATCTGTGTCCGCACGCGTAACAGCCGGGAAAAGAGCAACTCACGCGCGTGATTGAGTCGTTTTTTGGGCCTAATTCGAATTTCGGAACGAAATTTCCAAAAATCACCTTACTGGGCCTCGTTTATGGGTCGGACACTACCCAACTCATTAGACGCAAAACTACCTTTCCCATTCTCTTTTATTTTTGGCGGGAAAAATTGTGGTTAATTAGAGATAATGGAGATAAATTGGTTAAAATAAGAAATAAAGTACCCTAACCAAATTAGAAACCCTAGTTTCCCTTTCCAGAAGATGTTGAAATTGAAGGGGAAATTATGCGATGATCAAGAGGACAACAACCACGGTTAGTTACTTAATCCTATTATTGTACACCCATAGATTTGTCATTGTTATTTTCGAATTTTTTCGTTCTGGTGTTCGCTATTTGCCAGTAGTTTTTTAGATATGGTGTTCGCGATTTGCAGTGGATGCGTTCATTCTCGTTATGGCGGGAACGTGGATAAGGTACTATACAGGAAATTCGGATTTCAAAATGGACATATCTCATCGTGGAAGGTGCATAAATTGCAAAGATGTGTCCGGACCAGATGATTTGAGAAATCTGATTGCGCATGAGTTCGGATTAGACCTGAGAGTTGTTTCGGTGGAGATTTCCTACTGGTTTGATGATGTTCTAGCTGAGCTTAATGGTGATAGGAGTTGTCCATGTGTGATAGTTACTCCTCGAGAGTACAAATTCTTCCTTTCGCTGCATAAGTCTGATAAGTCTGTGAATTTATTTGTCACATTCAAGGAGTCACTAAATGGTAAAATGGTGAGACTGAAACGGAAGGAAAGTCTTGAAGTTCAAATTGCTAGGGAACGGCGAAAGTCCTTAGGGCCAACAAACTTCATAGCCTCTTCTTTGGCAGAGTCTAGTCAACCCGATGATGAAGCAGATGATGAAGATATCGATGATTATTTGCTGATAGCATATGCCGAGAAAGTAGAGGCAGAGGCCGCAATGAACACCTCCAAAGGTGTACAACCTGAAGCTGTCTCTTTTATCCATCATGTATTGGGATTAAAAATGTCCCAGGAATCAGAGAAAGTAGAGGCTAAGGCCACCACTAACACCTCCGTTAATGTAAAACCTGATGTTCCAAATCGCGCTGTCTCTGTTGACCACCTTGTGTTGGAATTAAAAATATCCCAGGAATCAGATGAGGCAAGAGATTCGGAAGAGAAGGAAGCTGATGATGTTGACGATGACGCATACGGCTCTGATGATGATTATGATCCGGATTATGATTTTGACTGGTGGAATGATTACGTACTAGCAGATGGTAAGGGTTTCCATTCTAAACCTGGATTTGATGAGGATAAGGATGACTCTGGTAGTTCAGGGGGTTGTGGAAGTAGTCGCGGAAGGGAGCCGAGTGTTTCAAACCATATGGACTACTCCATTGTCTTAACGGAAAGTCCTATTCATTTTCCTGGAAGAAAGAGGACTGTATGTGAGAAGGTTCTGGCTCCCCATGGAGATGATGATGATTTTGTGGAGACTCCGACAAGTGATGTTGTTTGGGGGCGTCAGAATGGCGGTGCAGATCTGAAGAAAGCGATTAAACGTACAGAACTATATGGATTTCCGGATGTGGCACCTGTCTCTCTGATGATATGGAACGGGATTTCGATGAACTTGATTTGTCAAATGAAGATGGAGAGATATGGGTTGGGAAAAAGTTCAGGAACAAAGAACACTTTAAAATCACGTTGGTCATCAATGCACTGAAGAATGTAGTGACGTTCGAATTCAAAAGCATGTGAAGAAGTACACAGTCGCCGAATGTCCAGCAAAGATATGTGATTGGAGGGTGTTGGGGTGTCAAGTTGGCGATTCTGCGTTGTATGAGGTGAGGAAGGCGTGCTTGAAGCATACATGCCACCCGGATACAAGAAAGAAAATTTCTAAGCATGCGACTTCTAAAGTCATGGCGGCTCTGCTGAAGTCTAAGTATGAGAATGCAATAGTTGGTCCACGTGCGAGTGAGCTACCTGCGATTGTTCTCTCCGAATATAATATTACAGCCTCGTACTGGAAATGCTGAAAAGCTAAGGAGCTGGCTATATACTATGCTCACGGAACAGAGGAGACTTCTTTCAAATTATTACCGATTTACCTCCATGTGCTCAAGTATGCTAACCCCGGCACCATAACGCATTTGTCAACCGAGAGAGATGAAAAAGATGGAAAATGTATGACCAGGTTTAAGTCCGTATTTATGGCATTGGCTGCGTGTATATCTGGATGGAAACATTTGAAACCGGTAGTTGTTGTTGATGGGACTCACCTGACTGGTAAGTATAAGGGTTGTCTATTAACGGCCAGTGGAAAAGATTCTAATTACCAGGTTTTTCCAATAGCGTTCGCCGTTGTCGATGCAGAGTCTGACCAGACATGGAGGTGGTTCTTTGAGAAGTTGGTAGACATTATTTCAGATTCCTCTGATCTTACTATTATCTCGGATAGGCACGGTGGAATTGCCAAAGCTAAAAAGAAATGGTATCCACAGTCACACCACGGTGCATGTCTTGTCCATATCCAGAGAAATATTCACGGTAAATACAAAGGTTCCGGTCAGAAATGGTTGGTCGGAAAGGCTGGAGAAGCGTTCACAGTTTCTAATTTCAAGAAACTATACGCAAGGCTGAAGGATGTTGATTATCGTTGTTGGGGGTACATGGAAAAAATCCCTCTTGCGCTCTGGACTAGATCACACTTTACTGGTAAGAGGTATAATATGACCTCCAGTAACATTGCGGAGTCTCTGAACAATATACTATTTGCAGCAAGAGACAGTCCAATCGTTGCAATGCTAGAATTTATCAGGCGAATGTTAAATAGGTGGCTTGAATGCAGAAAAGAGAAAATTCAAAAGATGGATGGTGACGTTCCAGAAGAAGTTGACAAGTTAATGAACCTGCAGCTTGAAAAATCTGCTGCACTATCGGTTCAAGGCATTTCTTTGTGGGAGGTTGAAGTCAGTTCTGAGTTAGGTGTACGGCGGCATGTTGATCTCCTAAACAAAACATGCTCATGTCTAGAGTTTCAGACATTGAAATACCCTTGCCGACATGCAATGGGCGCGGCTAGGCTTCGTCAAGTGGAGTACAGCAGTTTGGTTGATCCAATTCTTAAGAAATCAATTTGGAGTGCAACAGTTAGTGGCAAAATCCTACCAGTGCCCGACCCTGACGACATTCGTATCCCAGCTGAGGTGCGTGACCTGAATATTATGCCACCTAAGTCAAAACGTCAATCAGAAAGGCCTACGACAAAGAGAAAACTTTCAGCAGGAGAGTATCCTCAGGTTAGTGTACACCCGCCAATTATTTTTCCCTAGTCATACTGATTTCTGATTACTGATATACGCTGTTGCAGGTTGCGAAAAAAAGAAGCCAAACAAATGCTCGAGATGTGGAACCCCCGGCCATAACCGGGCAAAATGCAAGGAACCATTGGGTTGACTGGATGTGGCTTTTGTGTGTCTTTTGTTGTGTTTGGAAAAGAGCGAGCCACAATGGTTTTTGTGTGTCTCTTGTTGGTTTTTTTGTGGGGAACTCGCTTTGGTTTTTTGGATTTTGTTTCTTGCGTAAACTATGTTTCCATATATTTAAATTTATGATGTTTACTGGACAAGGTGTACACAACCTGTGACGGTGGACAACATGAATCAGTTTACATTATATGGTGTATGTGCATTATGGCTTATGGCGTATGCGCATTATGACTTATGTCTAAGTTTACATTATATGGTGTACGCATATAAATATAGATATGTCTAAGTTTACATTATATGGTGTACGCATATAAATATAGGTGTATGCACATTCTGGCTTATGTTTACTGGACAAGGTGTACACAGTTTCTGTACACCTCTGACGGTGGACATAGTTTGTGTACACTTTGATGGTTGACAACATGAATCAGTCTACATTATATGGTGTATGCGCATTATGGCTTATGTATAATTTTACATTATATGGTGTACGCATATAAAAATGCCTTCTTCAGTGAAACAAGTTACCGGAGGCAGCAAAAGTTAATTACAGCAAAAGTTAATTACACAATATTTATAGTTAGTTTCTAAAAATGTACTCTGCCAAAGTGATCTCATTGCAATTGAAGGAAGTGGAGAGGAAAAACAGTCCATGTTTCAGTACAGGTATTTGATGGTTCTTTTGAAAATATGGGAGTTTTTTAGTTTTCGCTTTTGAGGATCGGTCTTTTACATCGTTTACCTAATTATTGTTTTGCCGATTTCAATAGGACCTGTTGGTGAGGACTTGTATCACTGGGAAGCTATCATAACGGGGCCTAAAGGTTTACCCTATGAGAATGGTGTTTTCAAACTAGACATTCACTTTCCGCTTGACTACCCTTTCGGGCCACCGAGGGTAAGGAATGAAGCATATGATTGCTTTCTCAAATTTCTGTATTTTTAGGGTTTGGGATTTAGTCAATAAAGATTTCAATCACTAATAACACTGTTTTTGCAGGTGACGTTCAAAACAAAAGTGTATCACCCAAACGTTAATATTTTGGGGAACATTTTTCTTAAGATGTTGAACCCAACTCACTTCAAGACCAACAACACCATCAATGATGTATTTTTACTTATGAAAGAAATAAATCGTTATTGTCTTTTGCTTAATAATCTTCATTTCGATTAAATCAGGGCTTAACTGTGTATCTATGTAATCAGGTTCTCACTGAAATACGCCAAATGTTAACTGCCCCCCAAATAAGTGAAGGACACTTTTTTGATGAAGAAATTGCAAGGATTTACGTTAAAGACAGGGCTGCTTTTGACACCACTGCATCAACGGCCAGCTTGGAACGACGTTCCTAAAGAAGCGGAAGAACCTTTGGGTCTCTTGGGCCCAGAAACAGGTTGTGCACTTTGGCTCCTTAAAATCTTCTGCAAACCACTGGAGCCAGTAATTGATAATCCCACACTGACAGGTGTACAGCGCCTGGAATCTCGGATCAAAGCCAGCCGCTTTCCAAGTGAAATCGACTGGCAAATCGAAATTCCATCCGTGTGGAACGTCGGCCAGCAACAACCGGCTCATCCTCCTCCGATTTTGCACCGTGAGCCTGCCCAAATACTCATCTGCACAGACGAAGTCTTCCGGCACTGCTCTGAGCCACATCCCGTACACAAAAATGGCTCGGTCGTAGCCTCTCTCCGCTCTCTTATCAATTCCACGCCTTCACCATCGTGGAACAAAAAGTAGGCTTGCATCCCCCTCTGGAAAATAACCCCTGGATTACCCGCGTCATAGAATCTCCTCATCATCGTTGGGTAATGTGGAACCGCCGCTTGTTCATGGACGATTTCGGCGGGATCAATCGCTTGATAGAAACCCCTGCTTGTGCCGATACAGTTGAAACGAGAACATACAGCACGGAGGCGGGCTATTTCCCTTAAAGATGGGTTTGTAGCGACCAGAATTGTTTCCAGCAATTCATCAGGGAGTGAGAGAAGATGGGAAAAATCCTCATCACCACCTCTGTTTCTCCTTGGAACCATCGTTTATTTCGATGAAAAGAGAAAAGATAAGAAAAGGGATTGAGGAAGAAGAATGGAATGAAAGAGGAAGTTATGATGGTTCTAAGTAGGATGTTACGGTGAAGGGATTGAATTTAAAGAGGTAGTGCGGTTTTAATAGAGCCGAATAGCTGTCTTTGAAGAGAGACGTTGAAAAGAGACGAAAATGTGTTTTTTCGTTTGCCGGCAAAATTAAATTACCACAATAAATACAGAGAATAACCAAATCCAAGCAAAATTCACCATTAAACTTTTATGATTTATGATTTAATTTAATTTATGATATACCACAATACATTTATGATTTATGCCACAATACTATTATCATTTATGATTAAAACGAAATTTCAATAACAACACAGACCTTTTTATATTTTGGAAACTATATTTTCTTGTCATCATTACAGTTTCAGTTTTCTCAATATCACGTTAACCGAGATATAGAGTACAGATTGAGTCCACGTAGACGAAATAATTATTAGTTTTTAAATATACGTACAGAAATAGGTAAGGTGAGACTTTAAATAGATAATGTCGTTTGTATACTCAAAATATATAATATGTGATAAATGTCTTTAACATTCAGGTGTACATATTGAGTCCAGATTGATGTGTTCTTTATTTTCTAGTTATTAGGCGTATAGAGAGAGATCAACTGAGTCTTTAAAGATATAAGAGATAATGCTTCTAAAAAAACTGCCACAACCACCTACCGAAATTAATTAAAGTCAACACAATTAAAGTATACATAGATAGAAACAAAAACAAAGTATACATACATACATAGAAGGCGTAAATAAGTACGTGTACAGATCCTAACAAAAGATTAAATCATAAAGTACGAAATATGATCG